GGCCGCCAGCGGCCGCTTCCCGGCCCTCGCCCCGCGGCCTCCGTACCTCACGCGCGGCTCCGCGCTCCGCCGCGCTCCAGGACGGCGAGAGGAGCGGGAGAGAGTCGATCGGGGCCGACGCCGAGCGCTGAGCTATCGATGGTCCCTAAGGGCGACACCACCGGCCGTGCGGGGGAGGCTGGGAAGAGACCAAGTTGGGGCGGGGGGGGAGAACCGGACGGGGTCTGGGTGAGGCCGGGCGGCGCCGGCTTCTCCGCACCCGCCCCCCCCCTCCCAGATCCCAGGCCGGGCCCCCCACCCTCCAGCCCCTGGAGTCACCCAGTTCCCAGTGAATTTCAGATAACAAGTCTTTTTGGTTTTTTTTTTTTTTAAGATTTATTTATTTACAGAAGTGGGGTGTAGGCCAGAGATGCGGAGGGTGAGAGGCTTCCCCAGAGACAGAGCGGGGAGCAGAGGGACGAAGCCCACTGCCAAGGGGAGCAGCGGCGGGTCAGGAGAGGTCTGCCGCGCCCTGGGGTCACCTCTGGACCTCTGGGCAGGTGGGATCATGCGAAGCGGCTTAAGCCTCTTCGTGCTGCGCTTTAACCCCCGGCGCCACCAGGGGGGGCCGACAACAGTCATTTTTTAACTGACCTAGGGACAGTTCTGAGCCGCAGGCAGAACCAGGGTGCTGTGGGCGCGGCTGGTGCGCCTGGGCCCGGCCCTTGGCCAGCTGCTCAGCCCAGTGGCCCCTGCCAATCGGGGTCCTGTGCCTCCTTTCCACTCCGGCCCCCCCACCCAGGTCTCACCCTGGCGCAGGGGCGCTGGGCACAATACCAGCTCAGGAGTTCACCACACCCCTTCCTTCCTCTGGCCCTGAGCCGAGGCCACAGAGGCCAGCCTACCAGGCCCTGGGCCTGGAGCTTTCCTGCCCACCCCGCCACCCCTCGGCCTCAAACCCCATGAAACAAGCCTGAACCCTCCTTTCCTCCAGTGCCCCCGCCGCCCACTTGTCCACAACACCGGACCCTGCCTCTAACCCCCCCACCCCAGTCCCGCGCCTTCCAGTGAGAATGCCGGCAGGGCACAGCTGCCCTGCCTGTCAACCCCCGCTTCTGTGCAGCCCCAGCGGGGCTCCCTACAGCTCCCAGAACTGCGGCCCCATCAGGACCAGGGGCTCTGGGGCTCTGCCCTCTCAGGTCTCCGCTCTGGGGCCCCAGCTCAGATCCTGCAAGACCCCCAGGCACCACCGCACTGTGGCCAGGACATGGGGAACATCCCGCCCAGCGGGGCCCCCGGCCTGTGTCAGCCAGGCTGGCCAGAGGCGCCACCCCATCTCCGAGCCGCCTCCAGGCCACCTGCTGCCCACGCCGCCCTCCCTTCACCCGGGCTACAGGGCCCAGCCAGGCCCCCTGTGCATCCCCCCCGCTTCTTGCCCCGGGGGGCTGCCCGAGTTGGGGGCAGGCGGGGGCCCCGTCCGCCCACCCTCGAACTAGGCCCGCCCTCTGCCTCTGCCAGCCTGGCTCCTGTTCTCCGGCACCCCTCCCTGCACCCCAGGGGTGCGCAGCAGTCCACGAAGGTGGAGCTCATCCCGACATGAGCCTCTCACGGTAAACAGTGGAGGGCATTCGGTGCTCTGTGGCGCCCTGCTCCGGAGCCCGGACCTCCCCGAGCCCCGCGTGGCCCAGCATCTGGGCCCTCCCGGCCACCGAGGCCCTGCGAAGTGGCAGTGGCGAGCACGGAGGCAGGCCGCTGCTCCGTCACTGCGGGGGCTCTTCTCTCACCCCCATCACCAAAGGGCTGGAGGGACAGCGGCTGCAGGGTAGACGGGGACAGGGTCATAGCGGTGGAGCCTCCTGGCTCCAGGGCCAGCCCAGGCTGCAGCCCGGGGGCCCAGCCTCAGCCATTCTGCTGGCTCAGCGGCCTCCTCCCGGGATCTCCGCGCAGGACTGACTTCCTGGAGGGCCCCATGTCCAGGCCTCTGCGTCCCGGTCCCCAGCATGGCTGGTGTGCCCGCGCTTGGAAGGCCTCGTCCGCCCTGGCTGCAGCAGCAGGGGGCGGCTGATTCCAGGGACGCTCCCCGGGTGGCTGGGCTAGGGCCCCCCAACCCTCTGAGTGTGCAACCCTCACCAGGCGGGGTGGGGGGACAAGTGCCCCCACCTCCCAGCAGCTGGGTCCACAGACCGCAGTCTCTCCCCCAACCCCCACCGCCTTGCAGCTGTTTCCCAGATGCTGGCCGTGCAGTCGGGGCTTGCCCAGGGTGTGGCCCCGAGGTTGCCCGGGCAGGATGCAGGGCGAGGGCCCAGGCACGGCCAGTCAGTGCGGGCGTCAGGCGGCTGACCTGCAACGTGCGCTGGGCTCATGGTGGTGGTGTCTGCGCCAGGGCGGAACGCCTCAGCCTGACCAGGCGCCGGCCTAACGGGGATGTACCAGCTAGCTTTTTATTTCGGGGGTGCTCTTTTGGCAACGCCTTCTGTGGGCTAGGCCCTTTTGCTAGAACAGCGAGAGAGCCACGCCTGGACCGACACCGGGCCACCGCACAGCGGGCCTGCCGGGAAGTGCCCGGCGCCACGAGGCAGGTCGCCAAGGAGGGACTCTCTCTTGCCCCCATTTTATGAAGGGGAAGTCGAGATTCAGGAAGACAATGTGACCAGGAAAACAAACCCAGGGCGAGGTGGACGCAAGGCCAGGTCCCCACCCAGAGACCGGCCCTCGGGAGGGTCTCTGGCTTCCCTGAGCCTTTGCTTCTTCATCTGGAAAATGGGCACAGCCCCCAACTGCCACCCATGGGACTCGGTCCCCCACCCTGGGCACACTGGGTGGAACCCCCAGACCTGGCCCACCAGCAGTGACCAGCCTGGCGTCGGCACAGCAGGTGCCCAGAAATTGGTCACCAGAGAGTGGGGCCGGGACAGCCTGGCACTTAAAGCCGGCCCCGGCCAGCACGCGCAGGGATGGGCTTGCTCCGGGAATGTCTTGGGTGACCCGCAGGGGGCATGACCAGCTGCCAGGATCAGGGATCCCAGGGCCTGCTGCTTCCGCTTCCCCAGCCTCTGGAAGGTCCCAGCCTGCGGGAAGGCCCAGAGCCCAAGGGCAGGCGGGCCAGGCCACCCTCCAGGCCTGCAGCCTGCCCTCCCACGCCAGGCCAGTGTCTCCACCTGAACACCACCCCCGCCTTCAGGCAGGGGTCAGGGGAGAAGGGTGGGCGCTGACCAGCTGCCAGGCTGTGACAGAGGGCAGGTGGCTGTGCAGGGGCTCTGGGCCTAGCCGGGACTGGGGCCCTGGGCCCTGGGGGTGGGGGTGGGGGACGGGGGTAACCCAGGGGTGAGTCCCCACCAATGGTAGGGGGGGTAGCACCCTACTTGCTGCGTGTGGGGCTGCCCCCGGCCTGGGGTTCAGCTGCGCCAAGGAGGGGCTGGAGCAGAGCAGCAGGTTGGAGAGAGGAGGCTGCTGGGGGGGGAAGGTGCGAAGGGGGGCGGCTGCGGGTTCCCTGACACCGAATTCATTATTGGGAGATTCCGCTTCACAGCCGTCGACACCTCCCACGGGAGCCGCGGGCCAGAAATGTCTGACAGCCTCTGGCGGC